AACAAAAAAAACTATAATTAAGTACCTAACCTAAGACAAAAAAGAAACTGATATTCTTTACAACGATTTTACAACACCACATGTCTTCAAATCTAAAATACCCTTAATCCTTGGTCCACCTATCTTTTTCACTGTCTTTTTTTTTCTTTCTTTCTTCCTTTCTTTTTTATTAGTATCTGCAACTCAAACTTTTTTTTTCTGCTTCGGTGAACACCACATGTCTTCAAATCTAATTTGTTTACTTTTTAATTATACCTTTGATTAATTGAAGAATTTTAAATATATAGATGTTTATGATTTGGGCGCCGATTCCATTTCTTTCACCATCAATTTTGCCAAATTCTTTACGGATCTCAACGTAGATCTTAAACAATTATTAGAAAACTTAAACCTATTAGTATTCTATTTAACTAAAGTCTATACTATATAGTTTTTTTTCCACCGAAATTCAAGTGGGAAACTTCCCAAGATTTGAGACTCAATTATGTTTCTTCTTCTCCTTCCTCGACTCACACATCCTCTCAATCTAATTTATCAGATTCTGTTTAAATTTTCTTGAATCCATCACATTCACATTTATTCTTATCCTTTCCCTCATTCTATTCTATTTATCAATTCTATGCATGTGTTATTCATATAGTATAAGATGTTTCTAGTTTCACACACTATTCAGTTTAATGAGATATAAATGACTGTTTTTTCAAATTCAAATCATGTTATACAAAGAAAAAAAAATTCTAGTTTATTTGAAACTACTGCAAGATTTAAACAATTACTTGAATGAGACTAATTCAGCATACAAACTTATTTGGGATAATGGTAACTTTTGGCCATGTCATCATAATTATCTCTCTTCTTTGACTCATATCTCAAACACACATCACCTTCTAGCTCTCTCTCTCTCTCTCTCTCTCTCTCTCTCTCTCTCTCTCTCTCTCTCTCTCTCTCTCTCTCTCTCTCTCTCTCTCTCTCTCTCTCTCTCTCTCTCTCTCTCTCTCTCTCTCTCTCTCTCTCTCTCTCTCTCTCTCTCTCTCTCTCTCTCTCTCTCTCTCTCTCTCTCTCTCTCTCTCTCTCTCTCTCTCTCTCTCTCTCTCTCTCTCTCTCTCTCTCTCTCTCTCTCTCTCTCTCTATTTCCACATGATCTGTAACACCCCGACCGTCATCTGTCTTAATGGCCCCACATCTTCTCTCGGCCCGTGGGCCCACCATCTTCCGACGGTCTGTCTGCTACGTCCGAGAGGCTTTAAAGACTTGTTTACCGACCCTACAAATCACCACATGATATTTTCCTGTTTTTTTGTGTCACGATTGCAAGTAAAAGTAAATGAAAGCAAGTAAATAAGCGCGGGAAATAAAGCAAGTAAACTATAAGAGACAAACGTTGGGCATCAAGGGTATCGCAAGGGAATTAATGATCGCTATCTAAGAAATACTAGAATTAGGTTTGTTTACTTCCAAGTCTCGGACATACGAAACACTAAGATTTGGCTTTCCCTAGGTTATAGGATAAGTCGGCTAAAATCCTTATACTCTGTTACTCAACTCACGCAGGCAACGACGAATATATCAAAGCAATAAGATCAAGTTCGATTCTAGTCCATAAAGCCCTATAACTAAGTGGTGTGTGCTTGTTATAACATAATACACATTCGTAAGCTAGGTCTAGCGAATTAAGAAACCTTATGAGAAACCTAAACGCTTGGGAACACGAGTTAGGACATAAATCTAACTACATGCATTAAGAAACAACTTACTTAGAAAGAATACAGTGTAAACGATCAAACAAAACCCTAAGTATCGCCACTTAAACGATAGATCATATTCTCCCCTTCGATTTAAACCCTTTAAACCCAACAAAAGAACTACTCACACATACTCAAAGAACACAACATCATATGAATAAGAGATTGCATAAAAGAGTATGAGTAAAGAAAAAGGGTTTAGAAAGCTTCTCTGGAAATTCAGAGTTTAGGATTCTTCTTCCTTAAACAAGTAGAGAACAAAGAATAGAGATGAAGAGAGAGGTTGGTGATGAATGGCGGTTTCAACGGCGAGCGGCGATGAGGTAGCTTCGGTGGCTTCTCTGGTCGTCTAAGAGGCTGCTTGTGATGGAACAATCAAGCACACTTAGGGTTTAGGGCTTTCATCACGTATGTATAGGGTTTGGAGACCAAGGATTAGGTTTAGGGGTAAAAGTGTCTTTTTCCATGATTAGGTTAAGTGAAAACTCGAGTTTCTAGATAAGGGAGTAGCCTTAGTGACCAGGGTGGAGAGTAGGAGGCAGCCCGGCCTCGGCCCATGTGACCGGTGCGGCCTAGAAGCTCTGGAACGGTTGCATAGCTTCTGGCCGGTCTGAACATGTCTTCACTCTTCTAGTCATAACTTCCGAACCGCTAAATGAAAAGCTCTGATTCTACTTCAAGGCGCATCCTGACTCTTCTAGCTTTCCACAGACACTGAGATCTCTTGATTTGGTAATTGGAAGACTTCGAACGGACGCCATACTTCTGACGTACAGAAACTGTCTTGAAACGGGTTTTGATTGCCTTTTGGTCTTTAAAGCTCAAAAACTCTTAAAACCTTCTTGACTCCATAAATACTTGAATAAGAAATGCTCCCTAAAACATAAGAAAACAATAGCAAATATGGGCGAAAATCCCATGTTATCACACACGCGTCTGGGTTCGGCTCTGATTCCACTTGTAACGCCCTGACCGTCATCTCTCTTAATGGGCCCCACATCTTCTCTCGGCCCATGGGCCCACCGTCTTCCGACGGTCTGTCCGCTACGTCCGGAAAGCTTTAAAGACTTTTTTACTGATCCTACAAATCACCACATGATCTTTCTCTGTGTTTTGTCCTCACTCACACAGTTCCGACAATCACTTACCAGAAAGTCACTCATCCTGAAATTGCTCCAGCTCAAGCATGCTTAACTGTGGAGTTCTCTCAGGACTGCTGACCGAAAAGATAAGTGCATTTTTGTGACATAAGTGGCCAAATCAATTCTCTTAAACCTCTCTGCATGCACCACCATATTCTTGAAATCGGGGTATTACATGATCTCTTTATAAACTCAAATTGGTCTTTGCACAAGGCTCCTGTGTTACTTTCTTTATTTTGTAATTAGTGAAATAGGTTATTCATGCAATTCACCCTTTAAAAACCCACTAAAACCAATTTAGTTTAAAAGAATTTTTTTTTAATCAAATAAATAATCCAAATAAATTGTTCAAATCCACAGCAAATAAAATATAAAATCAAAAACTTCAAACTAGGTAGTAGAGCCAAAATTTGCTTTTTTGATTTATAGTAAGGCACAACTAAAAATTTAGGTTCTGGGCTTTCAACTCTATTAACAAAAAATCTTTAAACAAATCTCTCAATTAAATGAATATATTAACCAAAACAAAATTTCAACATCTTTTTAAGAGCTTTTCTGGACTGTCCGAAGCCGGTGGGGCTTAGCCCCAAAACTCTTTAGCCCGAGCGGACTTAGTCTTAAAGGTCCGATTTTTTGGGACATATATTTTTAAGCTCGACTCTGCTGTTTTTCAGGTTTAGGTCGGGTCAGCATGCGGACTTTGGCCCTACTTGACATGCCTAGTGAGAAACAAGATGCACAGAGAGATTATAGAGGAAGGTCAACATGCTATGTTTTGTATAGGCCCGTACATTTGGGTAACTCATTCGGGTTCGGATAAAACCCGATCATGTTCGGGTCTGATGGGTATTGAATTTAATACCCAATAGGGTAATCTAAACATCAGTTCGGTTTCAGATCATGTCTTGTCGGGTTCGGGTCGGTTCGGATAACAAATTTTAGACCCAATAAATACCTTTAAAAAAATGGGTACTTATTGGGTTCGGGTATTTTGTACCTAAATTTTTGGGTACCCGAAAAAAAAAAAATTGTCAAATTTAAACAAAATTAGTTATATTTGAATAAATTTGGTTAAATTTTGACAAATATAACAAATAAATTTTGGATAGTTTGGTTGTTTTTGGTATTTTGGTCTAAAACTAATTAATATATTCAGATTTATAATCTCTTATAATTTTAGGTAATTGGGTTATATTAAGATTACATATGACTAATAATTTGGATATTTAATTTTAGTTCGAGAATTCGGGTACACTCTTTGGGTATCGGATCGGTCCGGATATCTCCCGATACCCACAGGTAGGACAAAACAGAACCCAGTGAGTTAATATGCTTATACCCATACCCTACCTAAACCCGGTTTTTTCGGATCGGTTCCGGGTTGGGTTTTCGAGTTCGGTTTTTTGTCCAGTCCTAGTTTAGTAGACAAGCTAGTAAGCCCTGAGTCCAACTTTCCTTTGGCACTATAGCGCTCATCTTTAAGTGTTTCATCACTGTTACATCTGTTTTCAATAATAGGATTATGGTTAGGTAAATCTGGTTTTGTAATTTGTTAGGTTGTTTGTTCTTTCTGGTTGTGTAATCTAAAACCTTTGTACATAGCTTATAAAGATCAAACCGAACCATCATTGTAACTGTGATAGTTATGATTCGTCTTCTTCTATTTAGGTGTATATATTGAGGTTCATTTTTTTAATTATCTTTGTCTTTCTATTTGCTTGCAGAATCAATATTTTTAAACACTTGACCAAAAAAAATCAATCTTTTTAAACTAATCGGTGTTGGATTTAACTGTTTGGACTATCGTTGCTCTTGGTTGCGGGTTTTCCTACAACTTCTGGATGATTGTTGTTGTCCGAATGTAAGTAATTTGTTTACAATTCCATGTGTTCGCCAAACATTCCAAATGATTTGTAAATCTATATAGTAGGTTTATAAATTTTAATAAAATACACTTGACTTAAGCTAAAATAATTTTCAAAAAAAAAATAATTCTTAAGGTTCTTAACTTTGAATTATGCAAAATTTATGATAAAAATATTTGTAAACCCCTCATGGAGTTTCTACCGTTGGAGATGCTCTAACAAACTTACACTGGACCACACTTATTGGTTATATTACATAATCTTTTTCATTGAAAACAGAAAACTTCATATATTTATATATTACATGCACAACCGTGATCAAACATCAAGTGATTAATTGTTTCAAACTTCCGTTTTATGAAATCTTTTCTCCTGTGTGGCAGATTTGATGATCTCGAGTGCCTCTACCATATCATCGCATAGTCGATGAGGATCTGCAATCGTTGTTGTATCAACAGCTAGATTGATGACAATCTTGTCTACGTAGCTTATAAAATGGATATTGAGAGCCTTGTTAAACATCAAAAAAATAAAAAAAAATTAGTTAATTAACTTCATCAAAAGTTTCATAACTATGTACTTAAGGAAGAAGAGTACAATATTCTTACTTGTGATCCAACTAATGCACTTCCTGCGATATATGAAATCGGATGGTGAAAGAAACTTATTTCTTCATCAGGACCTTTCACATTTGAAAATGCCAATGATGTGTGACCAAAAATCCTCTTTCCAAAAGCTTCTACTGCCTGTTATTTTCTTACAATCGAAATTAAAAAAATAAGCAATAATGCATTAAATAGCTCATGTTGGTTTAGTATTTCACCTTTCCTCCAAAAAATTTCAAGGTGAATTTAATGATGCCATAGAAAATAAAAGCTTCCAGAGATATTTTTTTTCTATCCATAGTTGCTTTGGCTCGTCGAATGTACTCCAATGGATCCTTCTCTGGTTTCACCCACAATGGAAATATAATCGTTCCTATGAAGTTTCCCCATCTACACTTTGAACCCTTTGCCATCATATCAGCCAAATCCTACATTTTTCATATTTTATTAAACTTTATATACATTCTTATTAATTAGATATATTGTTTTTGTATGATTGTAATTTATGTTGATTATCACCTCTATCTTTGTTGCTGGTCTTAAGTTTATAGCTACAGCACCACGAACACGGAGTTTTTCTAAGATCTTTTTCTTCTCGGCTGTTGATCCATCTGTCGATAATGATCAAATATTATAACTATGAGTATGGATGTTCTAATATTAGTTCAGTATCTCCTCGAAAACCTAACACTAAAACAAATGGTAAAAAAATAAGTTTGAAATATAATGTTTTAGTACATAGCTGAATAGTTACACCTATTTTTACACAAAGAAACAAAAAAAAAAAAAAAAAAAAAAAAAAAAAAAAAAAAAAACTTAGTGAAAACTTAGTAAAAACTTTAGAACTATTTGAAAGTATTTAAAATTATAGAAAATATTGGCCAAATTTTCATTTATAAACTTTATTTAACAAATTTTAAATTTAAAGCGAGTAACTAATACTATGATGGTACTATGTGGTATAGTGGTTGAGTAAGCTCTGATTGTCATAACTCATAACCTCAGATGTTACCATTATGTGATGTGAGTAGATATCGCTTAAATAATTTCTTTCCATCGTTCCTAATTCCTACTATCTTCATCTATTTGAAAAGATAAATTAATGAAACATAAGCTTGACTCTATGCTTAAAATTATTATTTAAGGTTAATGATATATACTTATAAAATTAGAAGGAATTTGAATTTACCATATTTGCTACTCAAATATCTTGAAAGGCCTGCTTGTGTCATTCCAAGAAGAACATCATTCACCTTCTGCAAAAGAAAGAGAATATTATGAAGTTGTTAGTTAGTGTACCTAAATGAAATGAATGATCAAAAATAAAGCAAAACAATGATTATATACCATGTTCATTGTGTCCTTCACTAACTTGACATCCTCAAAACTTATTATCCGATGGACAACCTTCCAAGATTGAAATCCATCACTCGGATTACCCATAAGAGGGTTTTTGGTATCTCGCAAAAAGCATATTGTAAGCATTAACTTGGAAAACTCAACAATAGTGGTGAAGGTGACTCTTATCATAAACCAAAACCCAACAAACAACCACCAAGCCATGGAATCAACGGGTTTCTTTGTAGCCGTGGTATTAGAAATTAGCGCGTCAGGGTCTGATGTTTTTCGTGAACAAGCAAGTAAAAGTGACATAAGAGACATTCCATCACCAATTGAGTGATGTATTTTTACTATAGCCAAAGATTCTGCTTTTGATGTCTTTATGTTGAGTAAATGAAATTCCCAAAGAGGTTTTGACATGTCCATTGGAATATTAGCAATGTTTGACGTATAGTCTTCTATGAACTGATCAGGATTTTCAATGTTGGAATATTCAAGATCCGGCACAATAACATGATCTTCTACTCGAAGTTTAACCGGAATCCAGACCGGGTCTCCTTTTCTCTTATAATCTATCTCCTGAGAAAAAAAAAAAAAAAATATATGACCCATAAGGCATAATTTAGAACTAAATTACATGTGACTGCATACATAAAAATAGAAAGGAGATGTTTTTTTTTTTTTTGTTAGACATAAACCATGTTTTTAATATAACAATATGCATGCATAGGTGTAGAATACATGATATATGTTACCATTTTGCTAGAGAATCTGGGAGCATTGATCAATGAGTTGTTGATGCCTTCAACAAAGGCCGATGGGTTGCATCTAACTTTAAACCCAAAAGTTATCACAATGAAGAAATTTGGCGAACTTAGCATATGTGACATTGGGCTAAGCGGCTCCATTGGCATCGTCTCGATCTCTTCTCTCTCCATAACTTTTTCCGTTTTCATAGTTAATTTAAGGATTCTCCAACCTTTGTAGTGGATACTTCAATTATATAGCATTGATTTCTTTGTCGTTATCTTTTTTTTTATTAAATGAGGGTTGGTATAAGTTAGGGTTTTGTGGTTGCTCTCTTTGTCGATTTCTTAAGTAGTTTGTAGTTTATAGTTTATTCCTTATAAAAAAAATCATTTTTTTTTATAAATCATTTTCATTTATATGTTTAACAGAATTTTCTTGACAAAATTTAAATTAATGTACTAACTAGAAAGAGAATATCATTAAGTATATGATGTATAAATGAAATGTAAAATATGGAAGTGTTTCATTTAGAAAGAGAAAGTGCAAACTTGGATACAAGATCATGATCAAAGAGGATTGGGTCATGATCTTGATTACCTGGTCATGATCTTGATTACAATACATGTAATCATGGTGAGATGACTCTAATACTTTAATTTTATGCCCCCTGACCACTCATATACTCATATATGAGAGCTCCTTTTAACGGATAGCTTAACCAAAATTCTAATATATACACCATTTAGCGGCCAAAATGAAGTATCCTTTTTTTTTGAATAACATGATATATATTTATCTTCTTTTTTTTTCTTTTTTTTTTTTATAAATCCTCGGCTGATCCAGTCAGCTCCGGTAAGAACACACAAAAGTGCTACAGAGTAGACTACTCCCGTGGTTCAACGATTCAACGGACCCCATGAATTACGAGCGGACTCGGATCGAACAGGCCATGAGATTCATGAGATCCAGAAGATCCAGAATTGGGCCACCACACTGCCTGATCCGTGTTTGGAGTGCCTTGCGACTAATGTCACGGGGTAGTCAGGCCGCCTACATTTCTGATTATGAGGTAAACCAATTGGACCAAAGCCCAACTGACAGACTTCCCAAACAAATGTGTTTTTGTTTTCAGAGAAGATCAAACTCGCGTCTGATAGTTTCACCCTTCACCAAAACTTCTCTACCACTAGACCACATATACTTGGGAAAGTATCCTTATTATCGAGTTGTTTGGATTTTTGTAGGATCGACGGATCCAAAGACATCTACAGCTAACCCAAAAAAGCAATAAATAAAATTAAAATTTGGTGGTGATACAGGATCCACCTAAGTTAACCTACATGTAATGCTATATAGTTTGTCTAATATAGATTACATACAGTGCTAGATTTTTTTTGAATTATGCTAGATGATATGTCTATTAACAATCGTGGCCCAATACATTTCTATATATACAAATATATCACAAGATGCTCAATTTTCAATCCAATTCATTTTTGATAATTCGACATATTTCGGAAAGCAATATAAACTTTAGATGTTTACTTTCACAAAATATTTAGTTGTTATCTTTCCTTGTATTTTTTTTTGGGAGAAACTACTAGGCCTGGGCGTTCGGTAATCAGATCGTATTCGGTTCGGTTTTTTCGGAGTTCGGTTTTTTTGGATATAGATTGTAATATCCATACGGATAATTATAGAATTCGGATCGGTTTCGGTTTGGATATTTCGGATTTCGGATCGGTATGGATATGATATTCAATATCCGATTTAACCAAAAATGTAAAACTAATCCTATCCGAAATATCCGAAACAAAACTGAAGTGACTAGTTTAACTAACATGAACCATAGCTAGATTAGGGATTAGGGTAATTAATATTTGTAATCGAGATTAGGGATTCCATATTGAAAGATTAGCGTTTTATGCTTATATTCTAGAGGAGTGGATCCCGTATTGCTAGGGAAATCGAGATTAGGGAAGTGGATCATGTATTGCTAGGGAGAGAAATCGAGATAAGGGAAATGGATCATGTATTGCAAGGGACGACTAAGGTTCTAGAACTTCTAGAAGAGAGCTCGGATTATCCGTCGGATATCGGATCGGATCGGGTATTATTCGATATCCATGGATATAGAAATCAATAACCGATCGGTTAATTTATCGGATACGATTCGGATTTTAATCCGATTTTTCCGATTCGGATTTTCAGTTTCGGATTAAACGCCCAGGCCTAGAAACTACATTTCATATGACACTAACAAATCGAGAAATGATCCATTTTTTTTATAACAAAAAACAATTTTTACATCTCATATTTCATATACTGGAGTAATCCAAAATGATTAAATTAAGGATAAACCAGAAAATTGATTACCCTTGTTAATATGTAAATTTAGTCGACAAATACTTTTGAGTTTATAAATATATATTGAACCAACACCAACACTTAAAGCAAATACTATTGGCTGACATGGGCCAACATGTGGAAGCATACTAATAGAATGTGAGTCCCTTAGCACTGTTCGAGCTACAAATATGTTTTTTTGGTGTATATTGTTGGCATGTTTGGCCATGGCTATTAAATTCAGTTAAAAGCTTTTTATTGTGGGTCAAAGATGGGGATATTATGTTTTTCTTTTAAAAGTAATTTATGATATCTAACTACAACCCACGTAATGTATGATGTTAACTACAACCTACATAATGTATGATGTAGACATAGAAAAACGATAAGTATTTATTTTAATTGTTTGTAACAAATTTAGATATAGACAACATTTATAAATACACGTTACGGTTGATTGATGCATTAGAAGAGACATTAATGAGAGAATTTATAAAGTTGTGGTTTGAAAATCAGCTTTCGTGGCATCAAAACATTAAATATAGTGTCTCACTGTCAATAGTATATCACATAAATAACTAAATAATTTCATAATTTCTAGCAGAAAGATAGTTTTAGTAGATTAATCACATATTATTATTTTTTCTAATTCTAATTTTAACACTTTAGTAGTATATAACAGAATCATGTTTTTAAAAAGTAGAAACTTAAACAAGTGATTTACCACCATTCTATCTCAGAATTACTGATTTTTCGTGTTAGGTTTTGAAAAAAAAATATAAAAAAAAAAGATTTATTGGCTCCTTGGTTTTAACTTTACAAAATACACTTTTATTAACAAAACTAAACAAAAAAAAAAATTAACTTCACTGGTGGTACTAGGTTTTAACCTAGATGTGAACAGTGGAATTTGGTGTCGTGCTTTATTCGTTGTAGGTTTAAGATAAACTATGCACTAAGAACTCTGCTCATTTCTGAAATTGAGTGATATCATGGATTCTAATTAATCATGCATCCAGTGATATATAATCTTAAAAAGAATAATAGTTTGGTTAATAATTTATATTTAAGAATATGCTATTCTAGTATTGGGATGGTGAGGAAAATTTATTTCGAGTAGTTGAAAGAATTAAGACTTAAAAGGTACATCTTAAAATCGACCACACAATTCATCTAATTAGGAGCCTGATCAGATCTTTTGGTCCATGAACATTATGAGTACGTGTTCAAAATATTTATGAACAATTATCATGTCGGCAGCAAGGAAATGAATGTTGTACCTACGAAGTTGCTACCTACCATATTAAATTTTCATACCAAATATTGTTGGTCTCATATAAATTATTTTTTTGTATTATGCGATTTTGAATTGAACTCAAACTAATTTCCAAAATATGTGAAAGAGTCGGGTATTATTGTCACTGAAAACATACATAAACTATGGTTGAAATCGCAATGGAAAAGTCTCGAATCCGTGTCTTTCAACATCAAAGATAATCCTTTCGATTAGTATTCCACCTTGAGTCGATTGGTTTGATATAAATTGGTATACATATTGTGTGTTGGGGTGATTTTGCAATTTTCAGGGTTCGGCCAAGTAAAATGTGACACCTAAAAATCAGTCCGCATAGGCGCTTAGTCCACAATCAAGCAACATTTAATTGTCTTGAGTTTGGTGATAAAACTAGAGTCCTAAGCATGAAGATTGGCCCCTCCTCGGGTCATAGGAACGACTCGAATTATCTCGGGTACTAGATTAACATCAACCCTTGATCTACACCCACTTGTAAACCAAATTCTTGCATCATAAGGGCCAACATACATTGAGCTTGAAACGCCTATTGAGGTCTTTAATTAATACGACCTTGTAGGGTCTACCACTTCCTCCAAATTTCACTCCTGATCGGTTTTGATCAAACAATTTAAATCGAACCAAAAGAGCAACTCGATTAATTTAGGAGGAAGAAAGCAAAATAAATTTAGGAATCAGGATTCATAGCCCGAGCTGGCCTATAAATGATCCAGTAAATGTATCACAAATTTTGGGATCGATACTCTCATAATAATCTTAAGATCAAACAAATAAAAACTTACAAGCAATAACCTTGATGGAGCGATCAGATTATAGTAGTAAAATATGTAGAAAATTAGGTTTTAGTCAAATTTTCGGGGTCTTTTCATAAGATTAAATTTTTATTAGTGCGAAAAATCGGAAATAACTGGTGAGAATAAGATAAGTGATTAGACCACCGATGAACGGTATGTCCCTTTAACCATCTTCCCGAAGTTGTTTCCCCCACACGTCAACATGGTCATAGAAAGACAAAAAAAGATTTGTCCTCTTAAAAACTCTCTAAGCTTAAGTTTAACGGGACCAGAACTGAGCATAAATTGGTTTTGACGACAGAGTCTTTAACCTTTGCTTTTTTTATACATATCGCTTATTTTGTTAATTTTGTTTTTGTTGTGTAAATCAAGAGAAGGATTAAGGGCCTGACTGGTTTAAACGCAGCGGTTGCGGTTGCGGTTGCGGGAGTTTGCGGAAGCGGGCGGTTGCGGCTTTAAGCGTTATCAAGCGTTTTGAACGACTGGTTTAGCGTTTGAAAATGGGTGCGTTTACGGGAGTTTTATGACTGGTAAACCAGCGGGTGCGATAGCAGTTAAATAAAAAAATGACCAAAATAAATAAAAAATATTAAAAAAAAAGAAATAAAAACATCAATATATTATTATGATAATATTAGAAAAATTTGAACATGCTTAATAATTAAAACCATAAATAAAGTACTAAATAATTATTCAAAAATAAAGAAATTTTGTAACAAGATAGTACTTTATGCATCTGGTTTAACATAAAAAAATTGCATTAAGTAATGGGA